ACTTGAAATAGGAGGGATTATAGACTCGCATCGCTTCATACTATCTTATAATTGCTCCCTGAATTTTTTTCTTTCCATTATTTTGTTATTTTCTAAGGTTCATCCTCGTCCACCTGTCGACGTGGGCCCTGGGTGGCTATATGGGGAGATCGAAGGAAGATTAGGCCTCCTTCCAGAAACATATGTGAAGCCTGTCGGTGAATCTGCACATTCAGCTCATACACGACCAAATGTCACGATTGATCCGTTTGACCCATTCGGTGTGCATAAGAATCAAAAGCCCTCTTCTGGGTAAGGTTTGAATATTATAAGTGCACGTTAACAAGAATTTATATATACTTGATATTGTCAACCCCTTTGAGTTAAATTTTATAACTTCTTTCCTATTTCACATTTTTTTAGAATCATTATTTAATATGCTCGCGGTCCTGTTTCTTCTAATAAATTTTATAGAAAGCTTTGTCAGCCTTAGACCGTGGATCTGATACGTTTTCGGACGCTTCACCTCCATTGTAATTGAGCTTTGCCATTCTTAGCACCACACTACAACTCGTCTAAGAGACAACTGCAGTCTCTATAGACCATTGTCTGCAAAATATTTTTGGTATCTCCATCGTTCCAACTGCATTCATCCATTCTATATCTTCGTATCAAACTATTCACTTACAACTTCTTAGTTGCTTATCTTGACCTAGCCGAAGTTTGCTCCTTTGAACGGATTTTGTGAGCCTTATTCACACATCTAATTGGTTCCCTCATCCTCCAAGGTTGTAGTTTAGTCCGCATTCCTCTTTCAGGTCCACAGGATCCATCTTGTCTCCCTGGGTCAGTGATTTCACTCGATCTTTGCCATCATATATATTGCACTCAAGGCGCTATTTTACACAATTTCTAAAGTTCTTGATTTCACATATCCTCCAGCCTCATTATACAAGCCCCTATAGTCTTTGTTCATTATTAGCATGGAATCCTAACTTGTCACTAAGTTCTCTTATTACTGGTCGATCTGTGTAACCGAGTAAATCTCGTGGTTAAGCCTTTCATGGATCACGTCTATGTTCAAACACGTCTATTGTCACCCATATAGTCTGCCACATCTATCGTCCTATCCATAATGCCAAGTCTTGCTTCCAATGATCTAGTCTCTTATGTACCAACTGATAAATATTGTGATTCTTCTTTTAACTAGGCCTACTGTAGACGTCTCCTTTTGGAGTCCGTTTGCTCATTTGTAGTCTCCTTGCAATTTAGTTTCTACAAATACTCTTCTTTTTGCTGATCTTGCTGCTCACTGATCTCTCCTGAGTTTGCTTGGGCAGTATGCGAAATTTTCCATGATCCCGCCTTTTTTAAGTCACCAATTCATAAGGTTTCTTTCGATGACTTTTTGTATATTGCGCTATTTATATCTTTACTATATGAAGCCAGCGTTTCTATCTATTTCTTTTTTCGCTTGTGTAGTGTGTTCCGCCTATTTGGATCCTTCTGTTTCCATGTTTCAGCTAAGTGTTAGCTGATTTTTCTTAATGTTTCATCAATATACTTCTGCTCACAGTTGCCACATTTGATGCGATACTCTTCTGAGTGATCCAATCTTTCAAACTTCTTGTGTTGCATCGGAAGGCTGGTGAATAGTATTGTTTTAGTCTTTGTTATCACTTCGATACCCCCATTTTCTTATTAACGGTCACAATTAATAACAGTGTTCGCAAAAGGTCAGGCATATTCATTTATTCTCATAAAATCTTAGTTAAAATCTGTTTTTTATGACATCTAT